AAAAAAAAAAAAAAAAAAAAAGGGAGTCAGTCCTCCCAAATCCTGCCACTGCTTTATCAATTAAGTTTATGTAACAGTCTAAACCCTTTATCATTTTAGCAGTGTTCCTGGCACCTTTCCCAGGAGTAGATTCCAACTTAAGAAATCACTTTCTTTACTCATCCATAAAAAGCAATCATCTGCTTAAGTTTTATCATGAGATTGCAGCAACTCAGGCATGTTTTCAGGCTCTGCTACTAATTCTAGTAGAAACAGAAAACATTAAACACAACCAAAATATCACTTTCTTTTTTTTTTTTGAGACAGAGTCTTACTTTATCGCCCTTGGTAGAGTGCCTTGGCATCACAGCTCACAGCAACCTCCAACTCCTGGGCTTAAGTGATTCTCTTGTCTTAGCCTCCTGAGTAGCTGGGATTATAGGCACCTGCCAGAATGCCTGGCTATTTTTTTTGTTGCAATGTGGCCAGGACCCAGTTCGAACCTGCCATCTCTGTATATGGGGCCAACACCCTACCTGCTGAGCCACAGTAGGTCTATATATCCAGAAATATCACTTTCAGTAAGATTTTCAACATTGTCAGTCAGATGCAGCATCACTCTTTAGCCAGAACTCTCTGGAACCATTACAGAGTTTCTGGGGATGGCCCAGTGGGTGATCTGCAATGATGACATCAACGATGACACCAACAGTGGTGCTGTGGAATGCCCACCTAGTTAAAAAGTACAAAGGAAAGGTTTCAATAAAGGATCACTTGACACCGCCCCCCCCCCCGGAAAAAAAGAAAACTGAAAACGTGTGTCATCTTTTGTGGGGGTGGCAACTTAAAATCTGTAGAGAATCTGCATTAATGTAGCCGGGTATAGCCTTATCTGTTCTAGGAAAGATTAACTGAGAGTCTAACACATTTAAAAGTCTGCAAAGAAGGGCAGAGACTCAAAGGAGTAGGGCACTGACCCCATATGCCGGAGGTGGTGGGTTCAAGCCCCAGCCCTGGCCAAAAACTGCAAAAAAAAAAAAAAAAAAAAGTCTGAAAAGAAACATTTATCATCTATTCTCTTAAGGGGGGCTTCCTGAAGGTCTAAAAGGAACCAATGGAAAAAAACATTTTTTTTCTGAGTCACAATTTTACTCTGTAGCTCTTGGTGGAGTGCTGCGGCATTATATCTCACAGCAACCTCAAATTCTTGTGCTCAAGGGATCCTCTTGCCTCAGCCTCCTGAGTAGCTAGGACTGCAACGCCCAGTTATTTTTAGAGACGAGGTCTCATTCTGGTCACCAACCTGTGAGCTCAGGCAATCCACCTGCCTCAGCCTTCCTGAGTGCTAGGATTACAGGCGTGAGCCACTACCCTGGCCTGGCAAGGAATTTCCTTAATGAATGATCGATCGTGGGGCCTGTTCTTCACAGATCCCTGAGGTTTCACCTTCTCTTTTGCATAAGTATTTAGGAAGGAGTGGCCCTGAAACTTTGGTTTTCTGTTTACAAATCAAGTACCAATTAGAAACATCCTCACCCATGCTCTCAGCCGCTTGGAACCATTTTTATCCTCCATTGGAAGCGGGAAAAATCACACATCTGCTGACCTCCATATATGTGCCAGGCACAGAAATGATTCATTCACTCCTCACGGCATCTATTGTGGGCATTTCTTGTACAGAAGCACGAGGAGGACTCATGAGTCAGTTAGAATCGAAAGGCCTCGCGCTGATCACTCAGCTTGAAGATGGGAGACTTAGGGAGAGCCTCTGAGTCTGCTTCCTCTCCCACACACCTGTGCTAGTGAGAGAGGATACCAGAGAAGGGTGAGGTCTAGGAGAACAGGTCTTCTCAAGGAGACCCCAAGGATACACCTGCGGGGTCCTCTCCATGGTGACTCAGCTCTTAGGAATTTATAGACTTAACTTCCTGGGACCTGGAAATTCCCGCTTCTGGGAAATCCTGTAGTTCTGTGGGGGCTGGAACAGCATCTCCCCCCCTTGATTCAAACTGACCAGTGAGAAAAGTACCTGTGAGTTGGAGCTTTTTGACTGGAGATAAAAAGGGAAAGACCAAGCCGGTTGGGGAGCGTGGCCATTTTGAGTTCTATCCCGTTTGCTCCTGGCCTGGCGAGGAATGTCCTTAATGAATGATCTGTGGGACCTGCTCGGCTGAATAAAGCCTTTTTCCTCTTAAATACAATGTTTGGGTGCTCTTTCTCGCCAATGGGCCTCATCTTCCTGCAACACTAGGACTAGGGGCTACCTCGCTCCAGCCCAGATTAGAGGAGGCTGGATTTGCTCTTTGCTCTAAATTATCTGTTTGTAATTAAACTGTGTCTACATTTTGCATGTTAGGGATTTCTTGATGGAAACTAAGGTTATCTTCACAGGATGTGTAAAAGCTTTCATTTTTATCTATGGTCCAAGGCCAGAAGATTCCAGCCCAAGTCCTATTTGTTGGTCTTCTAATCCAGGCACTATCAGGGTATTATAAGACTATTTTTATTCTCTTCCTCCTCCTTCATCTTCCTTCCAAATGGTGGGCTTTGGCATGGTAGCTCTTAGAACACCTTCCCTCCCCTTCCTTCACCCTCTACTCCCACAGTAGGGCCCACAAATATTTATTTCTTCAGCTCCGAGCTATTTTCAGACTTTTAGGTTCAAAATTTCAACTGCCCTCTTGGTGTTACCAAAATCAGAAGGGAGTTTCAGACTAGATCCAGTTGCTTGTTTATTATCCTTTTTTCCCTTTCCTTTCCTTTTCTTTTCTTTCTTCTTTTTAGACAAAGACTTACTCTGTTGCCCAGGCTACAGTGCCGTAGTGTCATGATAGCTCACAGCAACCTCAAAGTCTTGGGCTCAAGCTATCCTCTTACTTTACCCTCCCAAGCAGCTGGAGCTACAGGCAGGCACCACCACACCCATCTAGTTTTTCCTGTTTTTAGTAGAGATGGGGTCCCACTCTAGCTCAGGTTGGTCTTCAACTCCTGAGCTCAAAGGATCTACTCGCTTCAGCCTCCCAGAGTGCTGAGATTACAGACATGGGCCACCTATTTATTATTCATGATTACAACTCCCTGCTCCTCATCGTCTGATCACTCTAGAATTTGGAATTATATTTATTGGTACTGCTTCTTCTTTTCTGTCTCCCTAGTGAAACACCCTTCAGGCAAGGGCAGGAACAGCTGTTGCATTCTCTGTGGTGACCCCAATGTCTAGTACACATGGTAGCTGCTCAGTCAGTAACAACTGAATAGCTGAGGACATGGTGACCAGGGGCAAGGTGACTCTCTCGCATCCCCTCTCTCGCCCCTCTGATTATTTTCCTATAGGATATAGGCACTGGTGGAAATGGGAGGGGGCAGAATCTTGAAAAGCCCGGGGAAGAATCTACCGAAAACCTCCCACTTATGTTCGAAATTTATTTTTCTTGTAGTCATCTTGGGCTCAGATCCCCTCAGCATCTACAGAGTCTGTCTCCTCTGTGTTATCCCGGGACCCAAAGGCTTGTGCCTGCTGGAGAGGGAGAGGCCCAGGGCCACTGTTACTTCCATGTTTACAGATAAGGAAACAGGAGCTGCATTTAATGAAGCAATTTATTCCCGTTTAGCCAGCTGGTAAGAGGCCAGCAGAGCTGGGATTCCAAATCCAATTCTATTCAAAGCCAATGTGATTCAAATCCAGTTCAAGTCAAACCCAATCCCAAAGCCAAGTTCTTTGCTTTTCAGCCTCCCAGATCCACATATCACAAAGTTCACAGCAACCACCAAACCCTCCCCATTTGCTTCTCTGACCCACTCACATTGTTGTGATGTCCTGACCTAACAGTTCTCAAAAAGATTTAGAAGTGCATTCCTGTGAGACAGGTTAGGCAAAAATTCTTACTCATTGTAGAGGTGGAGAAAGCAGAAGCCTGCCATGATGTGCGTATACCTTATTATTTAAGAACATCCAATTCTTTTTTCTGGAAACATAGTTTCACTATGTCACCCTTGGTGGAGTACTATGGCGTCATAGCTCACAGCAACCTCAAACTCTTGGGCTTAAGCGATTCTCTTGCCTCAGCCTCCCAAGTACCTGGGACTACAGGCCTCCGCCACAACGCCCGGCTATTTTTTGTTGCAGTTGTCATTGTTTTAGCTGGCCAGGGCCAGGTTCAAACCCACAAGCCTCAGTGTATGTGGCTGCTGCTGTAACCATTGTGCCTATAATCCTAGCACTCTGGGAGCTGAGCCAGGAAGATCGCTTGAGCTCGGAAATTGGAGACCAACCTGAGCAAAGCCAGATCCCCATCTCTACTAAAAATAGGAAAATTAGCCAGGCATTGTAATATGTAGTCCCAGCTACCAGGAGGCTGAGGCAGGAGGATCGCTTGAAACCAGGAATTTGAAGGTACTGTGAGCTAGGCTGTGGCCATGGCATTCTAGTTTGGGCAATAGAATGGGACTCTGTCTCCAAAAAAAAAAAAAAGAAAGAAAGAAAGAAAGAAAAACAGAAGCAAAAAGACAAAGAAAGAAAACAGAAAAGATTCCGTGTGCATGTCCCTTCAGTGGATGTTATTGGTTCCTTGGCTTATATCCCATAGCGAATTAGCCCATCTCCCCATACCAGCTATCCTTTCCAGCAGACAAAAATGGTTAGATCGGCAGCTGATCCATCATCCTTAAAAACGTGGACGTCCTGTTACCTCCGCCCCTGTGAAAGCGCCACCTCGTGGTCAAAGAGATGAAGTACAGAAGGAAACGCCTCTGAGGGAGGCCCAGAGGAGGTGGCTTCTGGCCCTGCCTTTGCCACTACAGGCTCAAATTCCTTAGCTCACCTGTTCCCTGCAATCCTTTCTTGGAAAAGGGAGGATTGGAGCATGTGATTTCTGCAAACACTGGATTAATCCCTCTCCAGGCTCTGAGAGGTCCAAGTCTGGGGGTCCTGCTTGGAGCCCTGTGCCCTCCACTGACATCAGCTTCCTACTCACTACGACTAGTGAATGTTTTAAATCAGAGTTCATGTTCACGGCAAACCACAGTCTGTCCTTAACATGGTCTTGCTCCTGTTTTGCTTACTTATTCCTTTTTATCCTTTTCATCACTTCTCTTTCTTCTCTTCTAGGCATTCACCCAAGGGTGTTTGATATACGAGGTTGGACAATTAAGTTTGGGAACTCATCCTAGAAAAAGTTCTACCTACCTCCTTGGTGACTATCACTACAGACACCTTCAAAGTACCCCCCCTTGTTATGCACTGACGCCGCACCTAGTCCACTCTTCTGGGGCCTGACAGGAAGTTTGGTGTGCAAAAGGCTAGGCAATTGGGTCTGCTAATTGGCTGGGTTCAGGGCAGAATCATAAGGGTGTAGAAATTGTCTTCTTTGCTCAGTTGGTTCTTGGGGTGGGGATCACAAGACAGGCTGAGTCAGTTTCTCACTGTGGGCCACTGGTCTGCGTGGGTCAGCCATTCCACGGAAATGCGAGACCTGTAAGAGTTCTCAGAAACTCCCTTTGAAGAGCCAGCAGAGTCTCCATTTTGTAAGTAGGCCCTACACTGAGCCCCAGGCCCAGTACAGAGAAAAATTACAAGCATGGGTGGCGCCTGTGGCTCAAGGAGTAGGGCACCAGCCCCATATGCCGGAGGTGGTGGGTTCAAACCCAGCCCCAGCCAAAAACTGCAAAAGAAAAACCACAAGCAGAACAACCCAGGGAGGGGACAGCCAACCCAGGTGGAGCCTCCTTATCAGAAACAGACACGAGACCCCTCCTAGAAAATGCTGAGCCAATCCCTTCTGCGAAAAAGGAGCCTCAGCCCCAGCCAATCCTGTCTGGGATTGAGTTCCAACCAATCCCTGACAGGATTGACTTAATAACCAATCCCCAACCAGATCCAAAATGAACCAATCACCCAGTTGCTGTCACCCCCTAGAATGTATAAAAACCGCCTTGGCTTCTGTTAACAGGGTCAACTCTGCACAGTCATGCTGTCCGTGTTGTCCAGAGGTGTGACCTGAGCATATGCCTGAAAATAAAGAGGCGTCTTTGCTTTTACATGTGTCCCTGGTGGTCTCTCAGTGGCATCTTTGGTCTTAGCATGCTGTATCATCTTCCGGTAGAGACCGGAAGGCCTGCTAGGTAAATTCTAAAAGAGCTGTAAGTTCTAAAAGAACTGTAAATTCTAAAAGAGCTGTAAATTCTAAAAGAGCTTTAACACCTTTAGGTTTCAAAAAGGTGATGTTATCTACAGAGAAAGTTAAGAATCTTTAGGACCATCAGCTACCTGACTCCAGAGTAGCAATTATGGGGAAGCAAACAGGGGGATGGTGGCTGGTTATTATCAAGCCAATGAAGGGGAGGGGACTGATTATTATCATTCTTTTTGGCTAGGCCTGTGCCTTTGCAGAGTTTTAGTCCCTTACCATAGTTTCTGCCTTACACCCCTATATTGATATGTAAAGGGCAATTTCACTATCACTACAGTGGAAACTCTGTAAGTTGACCACCCAAGGGAGTATTACAAACTGGTCTACATAAAGAGGTGGTTAACATAAGGAACATTCACTGATTATATTTGTTGCATGTCTGCTGTATGAAAATTAGTTCAGCTCGGCGCCTGTGGCTCAAGTGGCTAAGGGACCAGCCATATACACCTAACGTGGCGAGTTTGAATCCAGCCCAGGCCCGCCAAATAACAATGATGGCTGCAACCAAAAAATAGCCAGGCGTTGTGGTGGGTGCCTGTGGTCCCAGCTACTTGGGAGGCTGAGGCAGGAGACTCGCTTGAGCCCAGGAGTTGGAGGTTGCTGTGAGCTGTGATGCCATAGCACTCTACCCAGGGGGACAGCTTGAGGCTCTGTCTCAAAAAAAAAAAAAAAAAAGAAAGAAAGAAAGAAAATTAGGTCAAGGCTTGGCACCTGCAGCTCAGCAGCTAGGGCATTGGCCACATACATCAGAGCTGGCAGGTTCGAACCCAGTCCAGGCCTACCAAACAACAATGACAACTGCAACAAAAAAATAGCTGGGTGTTGTGGCAGGCACCTGTAGTCCCAGCTACTTGGGAGGCTGAGGCTCAAGCCCAAGAGGTTGGGGTTGCTGTGAGCTGTGACATCACAGCACTCTACAGAGAGCAACATAGTGAAACTCTGTCTCAAAGAAAAAGAAAAAAAAATCAGGCCAACTGAAAGAGGTGATCAACATAAGGAAGTAGGCCTACTATATTGATATGACCATGTAGTACATACGACCTATGAAAATTAGGTCAATTTAAGGGCAGTCAATGTAGGAAGGCGGTCAACTATGGAAGTTCTACCACCTTTTTTATTTTAGCCATCCTGATCACAGTGCTATCTCGTTGTGATTCCTCTGTGGTTTTGATTGTTTAATAGCTATGAAACAATAATGGGGTGCACAAACTATTTAGTGCACATCACCCCAGCAGGACACTGGGAAGTATTCTTTGATTGCACACGCTAACAGTTCAGCAACAAACCTATGAACATTCATGTAAGTGGAATAAATGAGGGCAGAGAGAGAGGAATACATAAATACCGTACCTTCATTTCAATTTAAATCTAAATGAGCCCACGTATGAACTCAAGTCAGATTTGGCAGCCAAACAAGTTATGAAAGAATTCTTTTCCCAGCCATCTGGATACCGAAATTGCAGGTAAGGAATTTTGCACCTAACAATGAACAATGCTAGATGGCCTGGTTCCATGAAGTCATGACTGAAATCTACTCCCTGGACAGTAGAAAGGATAGACTGGGAGAAGTCCCACTTCATTCATTTGCTTAGTCATGTGTCTGGTAAATGCTATCGAGTGTCCACCACGAGCCGGCAAAGGAGGGCCATCTTTTAGGAAGCCATAGGGAAGCCCCTGACCCAGGCTCCCAAACACCTCACCTTCTCCCTGGTTGAAAATGATGTCCTTGGGGGATTGCAGAACACTGCCTTGGGCTGGAACAGCCTGACCCCTCTTGTCCCAAAACACAAAGTCCATCACCACAAGCTTAGGGTCCTTCTTTATTTTCATCAGTCATGTAAAATACAAACAAATCTGAGCATGGAGCAAATTCCCTTCTCAAAAACATGACACTGTCTGAAAAATGGAAGGAGACAGAGAGAATAGATTGACTGGTTTCAGGACTGAGCAAGTCTTTTCCCCCAGTCTGTACTGCCCAGACTTGCCACCTAGTCTGGGTGAGGGTTTTATACAAACTCCGAGGTGGTTTTCCTCTGTAGCAGGTGATTATCAGAAGCTTCCGGCAAAGCTCTAAGAGGAAGTGATTCCTTCTCGTAGGACAGAATTTCTCCTCGGCCTCTGTGCAAAACACACCTGGCCCAGTTCATTTTGAATCTATGCTGGCTCTTGACTCTGACCGGCCAGTAGCTCATTTGCAAAGTACTTTATTTTAGTGTCATCTTTTATTCCTCTATCCATTCTTTTAACAAACATTTGCAGAAAGCCACTATTTGGAGAGGCAGGATCACATTCTGAGGTCATGGACCCCTTCCCTCCTCCTTAGCCCATAGCAAAGCTGAAAGGCTGGCCCAGAACTTGCCCCAGCCTTGGGCCCCTTCCTGTAATCAACGCCCACTTTTGCCTAAAGCTGTGTGGCTTTAGGTAACTGGATCACACCTCTCCCTTCCTGTTCACCTCTCCCCTCAGTTATTTTGCCAACAAAGTGGGGATAATGAAACGCACCCCAAGGGGTTTCTAGGCAAATTGAAGAAAGTCGTTTATGGAAATTAGCATACAATGCAGTCTGCAAAGCCTAGGCATCCTTTACCCTGGTTTCTTGATCTGGGCCCTGGGCTTGGCAGGGACACAGCAAGGCAGTCTTTAAATGTGACAAGGGCCAGCAGAGGCCATAGGTAAGCCCGTAGCAGTGCTAGATTCCTGAGGATGGACAAGGTAAAACTGGACTCTGGCAGCCATGAACTTCCCACAAAAAGTAATGTATCAGCTCTGTTACCAGCCGGGGCTGGGCCTGAATTAGTAAGTTCAGTTGGGTATTGTGTAAACAGATTCCTCTATGCAAAGGCAAGGTGTGGGAAGTGACCTCCCATCTCACTTGAGGCAAACACCAAAGACCTTAGAACATTCTCAAGTTCTCCACCTCACTGCCCTCTGATGCCATCTCCTCCCTGCTCCCATCTAGCCCCACCCGCTGCTCTCCTTGTCCCAGCCACACTGGCCTCCTTGCCCTTCCCTAAACACACCAACCCTCTGGACCACTCTTCCTCCAAGATGTTTGAGTGCCACACGGCCTCACCTCCTTCAGCAACTGCCTCAAGTGTGACCACAGCGAGGCAGGGTCCTCATGACCCATCCTAGGCAGGCATTCTTTTTTTTTAAATTGAGACAGTCTCACTTTGTCACCCTTGGTAGAGTGCCGTGGCGTCATAGCTCACAGCAAACTCAAACTCTTGGCCTCAAGAAATTCTCTTGGCTCGGCACCTATAGCTCAACCGGCTAAGGCGCCAGCCATGTACACCTAAGGTGGTGGGTTCGAATCCCCAGCCTGAACCCGCCAAACAACAATGATGGCTGCAACCAAAAAATAGCCGGGCATTGTGGCGGGCGCCTGTGGTCCCAGCTACTTGGGAGGCAGAGGCAGGAGACTCGCTTGAGCCTAGGAGTTGGAGGTTGCTGTTAGCTGTGATGCCACAGCACTCTACCCAGGGGGACAGCTTGAGGCTCTGTCTCAAAAAAAAAAAAAAAAAGAAATTCTCTTGCCTCAGCCTCCCTAGTAGCTGGGACTACAGGAGTGTGACACATTGATAAATGTAAGGAAAAAAAGAAATATATATATGTAGTTTGTTTGGTTTGTTTGTTTAGCAGGCCCTGGCCAAGTTCAAACCCACCAACCCTGGAGCATGTGGCTGCCACCCTAACCACGGAGCAACGGGAGTCCAGTCTAGGTAGACATTCTTAACAAATTTTCTTTTTTGTTGTTTTGAGACAGAGTTTCACTATGTCACCCTTGGTAGAGTGCCGTGGCATCACAACTCACAGCAACTTCAAACTCTTGAGCTTAAGTGATTCTTTTGCCTCAGCCTTTCAAGTAGCTGGGACTACAGGTGCCCCCCATAACACCCGGCTATTTTCTTGTTGTAGTTGTCATTGTTGTTTAGCAGGCCTGGGCTGGGTTCAAACCCACCAGGCCTGGTGTATGTGGCTGGTGCCCTAACTGCTGAGCCACAGGCACCGAGCCTCTTAACAGATTTCCTTAACTTAAACATTCCAAGCCTTTAAGAAAAGCTTCATTTCTTTAACCAATCACAAATTTAAAAATCTTTAAATCCACCTGTAACCTGTAATGCCTCAGTTCAAGTTGTCTGCCTTTTATTATTATTATTATTTCAGATTCATATGAGGGCACAAACCATTAGTTACAATGCTTGCATGTGTTAGGTAAGGTCCCTCTTGTAGTTGTGCCCTGCACCAGGAGGTGTGCCATATACCCTTACACTGTGCCCATTAGTTGGGAGCACACCAAACTCCCTCCATTCTCCCTCTTACCTTTCCCTCCTCCCTTTCCCCCCAACTTAAATTGAATTGAGTTTTTCTTCTGTGTGGATGTGTATTAGTTCGTCTACCGGCTTCATATTAGTATTGAGTACATTGATACTTACTTTTCCATTCTTGTGATACTTACTAAGAAGAATGTGTTCCAACTCCATCCAGGTTAATATAAAAGATGTAAAGTCTGCATCTTTTTATGGCTGAATAGTATTCCATGGTGTACATATACCACAGTTTGTTAATCCATTCCTGGGTTGATGGGCGTTTAGGTTGTTTCCACATCTTAGTGATTGTAAATGGAGCTGCAATAAACAATCTAGTGCAAATGTCCTTATGATAAAATGATTTTTTTTTTTTTTTGCAGTTTTTGGCCAGGACTGGGTCTGAACCCACCACCTCTAACATACAGGGCTGGCACCCTATGCCTTTGAGCCTTAGGCACTGCCCATGATAAAATGATTTTTTTCTTCTGAGTAGATGCCTAGTAATAGGATTGTGGGATCAAATGGGAGGTCTATTTTGAGTTCTTTGAGTATTTTCCATACTTCTTTCCAAAGAGCCTGTATTAGTTCACAGTCCTACCAACAGTGTAAAAGTGTTCCCTTCTCTCCACAGCCACACCACCATCTGCAGC